CCCAACTCGTGTGTCAAGGCTGGAATAAAAATTGAAGGCCTTAGCTCCTCTCTTGCCTACCTGCCATTGGCTGTGCACTCTCCCCACCTAGCCTGCCTACACAGTGAGTCCAGGTCTCCTGTGTCCCTGCCCTCAAGGGCTTTCCAAGTGCTGGGTGCCTGCTGGCTGGCTGCTGAATCACACACGGCTGTTTGTAGAGCTGCCCTGGCCTCCGCCTTGTCTGACTTCAGGATGTGTACCACTCTCAGGCCTGCCGCTTGCAGCTCTGTCCCTTCTTCTCTCTGCCTTTCAGCTTCCTTTTTGAATCTCTCTAGTCTAGGAATTCTTAACCTGGGGTTCGTAAACTTGCTTTAAAATTTTTTATTTTTTTCTGCTAGCCATATTTTGATACAACTGGTTTCCTTTGTAATCCTGTGCATTTTATTTCATGTATTTCAAAACATGATTCTGAGGAGGCCAGAGGTTTCCCCAGACTGCCCAAGAGATCCTGGCACAAAAAGGGTTAAGAACTCCTGCTGTAGTCTCCTCCTGGTCCCATCTCTCTCATGTGCAAGAGCTGACCTTTCATTGATACTGCCAGCCAATTAGCCTGCTCTTTTCCTTACAGTGAGCCTGAATGGCAGCAGGTGTGGGCTGTCATCAGAGGATCATGGAACTGGAAAGGAGCTCAGAGATTTAGTCCAAGCCCCTCATTTGGCAGAGCAGGAAACTGAGGCCCAGAAAGGGAAAGTAACTGATCCAAGGTCACACAGCAAGTAAATGGCAGAGCTGGGATTTGAACCAAGGTCTTCTGACTCCCAATCCAGTGCTCTTCCCACTGCACCTCCTTGGAGTCTTTGGAACTTTACCTCATCTTGACAGATTTGGTTGCTGCTTTAGAATGCCAGCTTTTCTGTAGCCGGTTTTGCATCTGTTCTCTGGTCTCTTTCAAGCATAACAATTACAGAGTGCACACTCTACATTGCTGTTATGAAGGATCAGAATCTCGATATAATCATGCTTACTTGGGACTATGCTGATTTCTAGGAACAGATCTGAAAGTCATCACCCACGCAATTGTTTATATATGTTAGAGGTTATTGGCCATGAAATTCACTGAATATGTTTCAGGTCAAGGTTATCTGGACAGTAGCACTTTTCTTTTCCACCTCATTGCCAACACTGCACAGGTTTCATTGGGTTAGGCACAACCAGAGCAAGACGTGTCTCCTTTAGGGCCAGCCCTCTAGCCCCATCATCAGCTTGAGCTTCTTGATTGGAGTCTTGATCTTGCAGAAAATGAAGACTCTCTTCCCTTTGGTCCCTTCCTAGGAGCCAAAAGGTTGGAATAGGATAGAGGTGCTCTTTCCTTATTTGTCAGGGTGATATTCCATAGAATCAAAGAAACTCAAGGAGTAGGAAGGTTGCTGAGAGGCCAGCTAGTCAAACCTAGGCTTAAACAAGAATTCCCTCCTTCCACATCCCTGATAAATAGTCATTTAGCCTCCTCCCGAAGACCTCAGTGACGGGGAGCCCATTACCCCCGAAGGTGGCCCACTCCACTTTCAGACCTGTCAGGGCTGCCTCTTCGCAAGTTCCGGCATGGACGGGTTCTTTTAACTTTCTGGCCGAGATCAAGGGTTTCAACTGAAGAAGGTGCTGCTTCTTGGAATGAGTGTTTCAAAGGATTGTTGTTTGGGAAGGGAAAGATTCTTTTTTCAGAGATTGGAGAAATATAGAAGAACTGGCAGTGGCCAACAGAGACCAGAGGAGTAAAAAGGAAAGAAGAGTGTTTGACATGAGCACAGAAAGAAAATAACCAAGCTCCAAATGATGCCAAATGCATTTCACATCTCATTCATTGCCTAATTGGGTATTCCATTTTGAAAGTCGAATGTTGTTTGATCTTACAGGCTGGTTGGAAAGAGAACTATGCCACATTCATGACTGAACTGAAAAACCTTCATGCTTATGGACTGACTACTCTTGGCCAGGCTCTGCAATCTGCATTCGACTTGTTAAATCTGAATAGATTGGTGTCTGGAATAGACAATTATGGACAGGTAACAACACATTTAAGAGATTACAGCTAACTGTTTTTGGTTTTGTGTTTTGGGCATGGGCATGGCTAAGAATTTATAGTTGGGCATAGTGAAATTTTCAATTTTATTTTCACAGACTCTGGAAAGATGATATAACCCTAAACTTTTTTTTTTTAAGAATAGGTATTGATGTTGTTCACTGGTACTTGAAACTATGTGTTTACATTCCTACACGTGCCGTTTTTTATTTTTGTATATCATAGAAACAGGGCTGCTAGACACAGAGCCCATTGATCTGATATGTGTCCTGCTCCAAGGGATGCCAAACCTCCATGTGCCAGGGTACAGATTGGATGGAAATTGTTGTGCTGGGGTAGATATGTGGAATGGGTAGCTGGAGTGTGTGCTTTTTTCACAACTACCAACTGAAAGGCTTGAGGGAGAAGGAAAGGTGGAGAAGTACTCACTATGGCTCCTGTTCCCTGCCCTGCCCACCGAGAGGTCAGCAGGCTGCTGGGATTCTGGCGAGGGGGGGCAGGGAGAATCCCCTCCACCCACCCGTGCCAGCACTCAAGCTTCTGAGTGTTTTATTTGATCTAAGGATGACTCATATCACCTGTTCTTAAATACATTCATTTCACGATTATTTTAGCTCCAGCAGTGAGGTAGATTCTGATATTACAGTCTCCAAGAGGACCAGGGTAAAATTGAATAGCATTTCTGAACTGGCTGCTAGATTTTGATCCCTGGGACTTCAGTTCCCTTTGAAATCAACTATTTCATGGCCTAGTCTTTTACATCGTTCTTTAATCAAGGGAGAAAAAAACACACTCTCTATCAGCATTTTGAGAGTTGTGTGCTGAATGAAAATTTGTTAATAAAAGGTTATTGTTTCACACACTGATCTTTTTTTCCAATATAATTTTAGGGGAGGAATCCATTTTTTCTGGAACCAGCTCTTTTAATTGTCATCACAGATGGATATAAGTTGACAAATATTAATTGTGTCCAAGAGGAGGTAAGATTGCCATTTTAATATAGCTTTATCTCAATGGCAGGGAATTTGCAGTTAGGCCCGGGGGAGGTAGATTTGTTTCCATGAGAAGCAGGTTTTGATCAAACCTTCCGTGTTGACCATCCCTGAAAGGCAGGGGAGGAGTGGGGGCTTCCAGTGCTACATTTTAAGATGAACTTTGCCCAATCTTGCCTCATCAGCTTCATCTCCCTTTGACCTCTTCTCTGCCTGGAAGTGAGCTAACCAAAGAACCTTTCCGCTGGGACCAGAGGTTATTTGCCCTGGTGCTGCGTATACCTGGGACGTTCTCGTCTGAGCCAGAGCCGCTAGGGAGCATACCAGTGGATGACTCTGTTATTACACAAATGTGTGAAGTTACAGGAGGTATCAGGCACAACTTACGGTCTTGAAGTGACAGGAGGGGAGGTTAGGTAGAGGTGTCAACAGCTACATCAGCCCTATTTCCAACACTGAGTTTATTTACAGGGAGTCTGTCTGCAGCTGCTTACCCCGTGAGAGTTATCCCCACAATGTCTGCTATTAAGGCTCAGCTCAGGAACCCCCCCATACCTGAGAAAGTACTCCCCAACTCCCTCTCCCTGCCCCCAGTCATTAGGGCTCTCTCCCTTCTCAGTTATTTTGTGTTTTATATATTTGGCTATGTGTTGCTTATCCTAGGTGCCACTTCTTCTGGGAAGCCTTCCCTGATTCCCTCTCTCCCCTCTGCCCACCTAGCTAATGTTGGCAGCCCCCATAGAACTTAAGCTCCTTAAGGATGAGGGATATATATTTTTTTAATTTTATCTTTGTATCCCTAGTTCTGGTCAGTCAATCAAAGGAGCATTTATTAAACGCCTATATGTGTCAGACACACAGTAGGTGCTTAATAAATATTTTAATTGAATCCAGTTGAATAGCAGCTTATACCCTGCAATGTGGTGAGGTTTTCAGACGTATTTTGTTTTGTTGAATGATCTGTTAGAAAACAAAATGCTCACTCTTGTATTCTTTCCTTCTCTTTTATCTAGGCCATTCCTATTGTATTAGGACACCAAAAATGTTGACCCAATGCTTAGAATCTTTAGTTCAAAAAGTTCAAAGTGGTGTTGTTGTTAACTTTGAGAAAGCAGGACCAGAGCCTAGTTCCGATGTTGAAGAAAAACAAGGAAAGAGAGGTAGGTACGGGATTTCTTGCTAGGGGGAGGAAGGGGTACCAGAAGGCAGTGTTGGCTTTTTCCCTGCTGCCTAAAGCAACCCCCCCCCACCTTGCTTGGCTTCAGGCTGTCTACTGAGAAATTGTTGGGCCGTCATTGATCCTGTATGGTATATGAAGGCCCATCAGAATCCTATCTTTGCCTCTTTGCTGCACTACCATTTTCTTGAGAATCAGCCGATGCACGGCAAGGTAGAGGGAGACAGGGAGACGATTTTTGCCTAATGCTCTTTTGGGCAGGAGAAACAAGTCATGTGGAAAATCCAATTTTCAATCATTGAAAAAGCCTCAAGTATACATGAGCCATAGTGTGCTCACGGCTTTGCTGCACCTGGCTCCATGGCTTTGGGATTGTCTTAAAAAAAAAAAAAAAAGCAAATACCCAGTCAGCCCAAGGGCCTGCTTGAAGTATCTACTATATAGATATAGACAGATCTATTGGTCGATCTATGGCTACCTATCTATCTCTCTATATCTCTGGATTTAAATAGATAGCTACAGATATCCCAGGCCCTCTTCTGGGTATTTCCTGCGCATACAAAGATAACACCAAAACCTCTGCCCTCAAGGAGCTTCCATCCTACTGGGCAGAAAAGAGAGAGCTTTTGAAAGGAGCCTTTCTAAAACACTTCCCTCCATGAGAGCCTTCATTCAGAGTTGTTGTGGTTATTGTTGTGTCTGTCTCTCTGTGACCCCATTTGGGGTTTTCTGGGCAAAGATGCTGGCGTGGTTTGCCATTTCCTTCTCCAGCTCACTTTACAGATATGGAAGCTGAGGCAAATAGGGTGAAGTGACTTGTCCGGGGTCACTCAGCTAGTAAGTATCTGAGGCCAGATTTCAACTCAGGAAGAGGAGTCTTCCTAAATACAACCCTGGTGCTCTATCCACTACAGCGCCCCCTAGCTGCCCTTCATTCAGAGGCTCCATGGTAAATGACACTGCTGATATGGGCATTTAAAGGTCTTCACAGTCTGGCTCCAGGCCTGTCTTTCTAAGCTTTGTGTACATTATCCACCTTCATGAACTTCCCTCCTGCCTCCAGTCCCTAGAACAAGCTTGTCCCCATGCCTAGAATGCTCTCTTTAGCACCACATCTTTGAGTCCTTAGCATCCTTCATAGCTTAGTTTGGATGGCATCACCTACAGTAAGCCTTTCAGGATCCCCTTAGTGGTTAGTGCTCTCTCTCTGCTCCTCAAATTATTATGTATGAATGAACAAATGAATAATTAAAGTGTATATCAAGTGCTTATGATATACAAATCACTGTGCTAAGCCGGCAATACAAACAGAAGAGTCAGACAGCCCCTGCCCTCACAGAGGTCCTTAGGGTGCAAATGTAAGGCCTCGGAGCAGCTAGGTGGTGCAGTGGATAGAGCACCGGCCTTGAAGTCAGGAGGACCTGAGTTCAAATCCAGCCTCAGACCAAACACTTGACACTTACTAGCTGTGTGGCCCTGGGCAAGTCACTTAACTCTAATTGCCTGAAAATTAAAAAAAAAAAGTAAGGCCTCTTCTTTAATGTCATTTCCACTGATAAAATCCCATCAGTTTCTGATGCTGAACCATGTGATGGAGCCAAAGACCTTGGTGGCAAGAGCTTTCTTTTCTGGGCCTTCAGTAACTGTGGCTCTCTGTAGCACCTGCAGGGGCAGTGGGCAGGCTGCATCTCCTTCCCACTCAGTAGCCCTCATCGCAAGACAAAGCATATCAATATAGCTTCTTGTGAAATGTTTTTACCAACTTATCCGAGCAGTTCTTATTCCCCAGATCAGCTTTCGAGGATTTCTGTTAGACCTGGCCAAGTCCTGTCTGGCAGTATGCTTTTTTATAAGGTTAAAATCATAGACTGGTAGAGTGTGTTGTAGAATCTTCACTTCTGGCTTGGGAAGGAAGATGTGACAAGATGAACTCTGTAGTTAAGGAGTCAATAGGTCCAAAATCTCATTTTGATTCAAATAAATCTGTGGTCCCTTTTGTTTTCAAGTCACTTGAAGCTCTCCCTTGTAACAGAGCTAGAGAGTGACCTGGTTGGGCAGTGTACATAGCATTCTGTTTGTAGTCCCCACCTTTCTGCTGAGATGCCAGAGGTGTGTATCGTTATCTGTTCTCTGGAACCAAACGATGCAAAGTATGGTTTCCTTTTACTGTTTTAAAATATTTCATCTTGAGATCTACAAACTATAGGTCAGTGGTAGCATATTATGATAATCTGTATTATAAAAAGATTTCCAAGCCCATAACCTTTTGAGCAGTGTTCAGTACAGAGCAATTGTTTGGTTTTTTTTTTGTTTTTTGTTTTTTTGGTAAGGCAATTGGGGTTAAGTGACTTGCCCAGGGTCACACAGCTAGTAAATGTTACGTGTCTGAGGCTGGATTTGAACTCGCGTCCTCCTGACTTCAGGGCTGGTGCTTTATCCACTGCACCACCTAGCTGCCCCTAGTACAGAGCAATTGGAAGAAAACAACTAAGTTCTTTCCTTTCCATTTCTAATAGTGTCATGTGACCTATAAGGAACATATAGACAGGTATATTTTATATTTCTTTGGGACCATTAGGAATTTGCAAGACAGTATGGCATAGTGGGTAGAGCTCTAGATTTGGAGTCAGGAAAACCTGTCTTCAAATGGCCTCCCTGACACCTACTAGGCATGTGATCCTCTAAGCCTCAGGCAATAACCCTAACAGTTCTAGCTGGGTTGAAATTGGAGGTGCTTTCTGTAGTTGGGCTAAGTTTTCTCATTTTAGCTAGCTGTCATGGTCCAGGGCCCAGTGGTGTCATTCGAGGTGACTTTTTTTCTGAGGATTGAGAGCAGCTTATGTCAGTTGTATCCTACTGAAGGTACTGCAGAAGCGAGATTGCAGAATGGCTAAACCCTTGGGTGCAAGGGTCACTCACTTTCAACACCTCCTAGGTGCTGAGTGACCTCAAGCAAATCATTTAAGAAGGGATTGCTCAGACTCCAAATTGCCACTCTCCAGCAGTAGAGGGAATTTCCACACTGGGATTTCCTTGCAGAGATGAAATCTCAGATCCCAAATGCACAGGGAGAGGGATCAAAATGAATTAGTTTTGTGACAAAGACTTGCTGTATCCCAAAGAAGGCAGCTTTGTTTCATGAGCGTTGTTAATATACTATAACCAAACCAGCTATACTACATCACTTGGCTGATACCCCATTTCTCACCTTGTCCTTGTGCAGTCAGCCACCTTGATAGGATCATTTTCCTAAGGTTATGTTTTCACAGTTAAAAGCATTAGGTGGGCTATGGTCCTGTGCTGGGTTTCGAACGAATTCTCTGATCTAATCATCAAGACAAGCAGAATGCTTATTCTTTACTATGAAATAACCTTCTCTAGAGTATATTGTCAGGACACCTTTGTTTATGGTAAAAGGGAGAAAATACCTATAGATTTGACTGGATTACATATCGCTGGGGCCAAAGTAATGCTGTGACTTAATAATTAAGGCAAGCAGAATGCTTATTATTTACCATGAAATAACCTTCCGTAAAGTATAGTGTTGGTACACCTTTGTTTATATCAAAAGGAAGAAATGGTCTATAAGTTTGACTGGATTACATATTGCTTGTGTATTTCCATTTAAAGCAAGAAAGACTGTCAAATATGATTGCTTTATTTTTCATTTAATTTTTTTTTCAGTTAATGAAAATCCACCTTCTCCCCTCACTCCCTTCAAATTGGAAAAGAAAGAAAAAACCCTTGTAATAAATATGCCCATTCAGGCAAAACAAATTTCCACATTGTCCATGTCCAACAAATATGTGTCTCGATCTGTACGCTGAGTCCATCGCTTTTCTGTCTGATGAAACATGATAGCTTGTTTCATCGTGAGTTCTCTGGAATCGTGGTTAGTCATTGTGTTCTTAAGTCGTTCAGAATTGTATGTCTTTAAAACGGCTGTTATCCCATAAATTGTTCTCCTGGTTCTGCTCACTTCATTCATCAGTTCCCAGGTTTCTCTGAAACCGTTTCTTGTAGCACAGTAATATTCCATCACATTCATTTACCATAGTTTGTCCAGCCATTCCCCAACTGATGGACGCCCCCTTCGTTTTCACTTTTGTGCCACCCACCACAAAAGGAGCTACTAGAAATATTTTGGTACATATGGGCCTTTTTCCTCTTTTGATCTCTTTAGTGCTATAGACCTAGTAGTGGTGTTGCTGGGTCAAAGAGTATACACAGTTTAGTCACTTTGGGGGCACAGTTTCAAATTGCCTTCCATTCTAGCACCAACAGTGCATTTGTGTAACCTGTGTCCCTGAAGTCTCTTAACCATTTGTCATTTTCCTTTTTCATAATTTCTATCCACCTGACCAGTGTGAAGGGGAACTTAAGCAATGCTTTAATTTGTATTTCTCTAATTTTAGTGGTTTTGAGCATTTTTCATATGTGTGTTGGTAGATGGAATTTTTCCTTTGAAAATTGCCTCTTCATAGCCTTTGACCACTTTTCAATTGAATAATAGCTCATGTTCCTATATATTTGAATCAGTTATTTACATATCTTAGATGTGAGACCTTCAACAGAGAAACCTGTTGCAAAAATTTTTTCTCCCCGTTCTGTTTTCTTTCTAATTTTGACTGCATTGATTTTCGTTGTGCAGAAACTTTTGAATTTTAGATGATCAAAATTGTCCATTTGATCTTCACTAAATCTTCTCTGTTCTTTGTTTGGTCATTAACTCTTCCCCTGTCCGTAGATCCCAGATGTAATTTTGTTCTTGCTTCTCTAATTTGTTTATGATGTCACCCTTTATGTCTAAGTCATGTATCCATTTGGAGCTTATTTTGGTATATGGTGTGAGACGTTGGTCTGTATTTAGTTTCTGTCATGTTGCTTTCCAGTTTTTGTAGCAGTTTCTGTCAAATGGTGAGTTCGTACCCCAATAAGCTGGAGTCTCTAAGTTTATCAGACATTAGGCTAGTCGTTTGCTTCTGTATGTTATGTACCTAATCAGTTCCACTGGTCACTCTATTTCTTAACTAGTACCAAATCATTTTGATAATTTTTGCTGGTTGCTTAATTTTTGAACATAATGCGTACAGGTTGGAGCCAGCAAGTCTCAAAGGAAGCTGATCCAACCCACGTATGACCACTTTTCCAGCTAAGCTAGCATCATGGGATCCCAACCAAGTTCTAAAAGACTCTTGCTGACCAGTTCTTTTTCTTGTGTCCTCTTAGATGGATGCCTAGAGGCACATGAGTCATCAAAATCCTCTGGCCATCCTCCATGGCACAGCTGTCGCAAGCTAATTTATGTGCGCTCGAACCCTAAAACTGGGGTTCCTGTTGGGCACTGGCCAATCCCTGAATCTTTTTGGCCTGACCAAAACTCACCCACACTGGTAAGTACCTTTGAGACAAAAAAGACAAAAGGTCTTTTGCATTTTTGAATTGCTAGTTTCAGTGAACACCTTTCTCAAAGAATTCTGGGAAACAGGGATTATGGAATACAACTGAGGCTTCTAGGCTTCCTGTGGAACAGGCAGGAAGTAGGAATGGCAGTCCCCATTTTTTTAGGTTTAATGGCACTTTCCTTAGAATGGCCCTTGGAGGTATGGTGCCAGAATGATTACCTCCAGTTTACAGAGGAAGAAACCAAGGCCTGAGAAGTTGCAAAGTATAAGAGCTGGGATTCGAAATTGGGCCTCTCCTGATTTCAAGGCCAGCATTTTTTTCTTTTGTAGACACGGGCTCATTTTTGTCATTTTGATGTGTACACAAGCTGCAGTAACTCTTGCTGGACACTAGAGGGTGCCAAGTGAACCCCAGGCTTTGCTTTTATCCCCACTACTCAAAATGCATGTGTAGAGTTTGGATAAAGCTGGACTTCTTACCCTTTTTATGTGTACTGGACCCATCTAGCAGGCAATCTGGTGAAGCCTAAGGGCTCTTTCTCAGCTGAGGCATAAAATAAAATACAGAGAATCCTTTCTACAAAGGAAGCCCATTATATTGCAATATGGTTATCAAAACATTAAAAAAAAAAAGTGACAGACCCCCTAGTTAAATACCCCAGGTTTAGAGTAAAAGTCTCTGCTGCACAAGAACACTAAAAACCTTCTCCCATGATGCACTTCCCTCAGTATAGCTCATAGGCCCCTAACTGGGTCTAATAACCCACTGTAGGAATGAATGAATAGCTGTTCTAGGCCCTAGAATGGAGAAATGGTCTCTGTTATCCCCATGGACAATCCTGCTTTTCTTGCAATATTACTTGGTTCCTTCCTTTGGCTAAAGCTGTTCTTGACGATGAGCTTTGTTTTTTTCTCCTTCCTGGTCACTCTTCAGCTCATTAGTGATCTTCCTGAACTGTGGTACCCAGAGCTGAAACTGATGATCTAAATGGGATTTGAAGTGGGCAGAGAATCCAGTGGAACTAGCCCCTCCTTATTTCTGGAAGTTAGACCTTCCCTCTTAATGCCGCCCAAGGTCGAATTTGGTTTGTTTGTTTATTTTCCTTTGTCAGTGCCTCCAGGCCTGATTGGCTTTCTCTTCCCTGACTACTCACGTTGGTGCTAAGACACTGCTTGGACAACCTCTAGCTTCCCGGTACTAAAGAATAAGACCAAACTTGGCCTGGCTTCTTAAATGAACTTTTGTTAAGGTTCACTCCCTTGAATTAGACCCAAGTCACATGTTCAGGGTAGCTCCTGCCTTCACTAGAGTTCTGATTAGGAGTGCTGTCATTTTGGTTTGATTTGCCCTTAATGTACCCGTTGGTGATGGAGGTGAACAGTCTGGGTGACCTCTGTGGAAGGTATTGCTCACGTCTAGAGATCCTGTAACACTGTGGGAGCACTCTAAAAAAAAACACAAAGTGTTGTTGGGTTGTTTAACCAAAGATCATGATGGAGTTGGCCTGGTGATGACGGGTCCTCTTGCTCCTCTCCCTTTCAGCCTCCTCGGACAGCTCACCCTGTCATTCGATTCTTCTGTGTGGACCATGAGCCCATGATCATAGACAAACTGCCTTTTGACAAATACGAACTTGAACCTTCACACTTAACTCAGCACATCTTGGCGCGCAAGTCACCTCTGACTTGTTGGCAGGTACTTAACCTTCACCTAGTAATAAATGTATGTGGAGAGCCTCTCTAGGATTAGTTCATTATTCTCTTCAGTTTCCTGGGTTAGAGTGGAACAAATTCTAAGAAAGAGCTTCCGTAACTAAGTATATGGTTTTAGGCCTCAGGGTGTATCATTGGTCTACTACTGTGCCCAGTAATAGGTAGTATGTCCTAGCAGAGGCAAAGTGCTGGCCTCCAAACTGGGAATGTTTAGGTACAGACCTCCCCTCCACTGCTCACTCACTAGCTGTGTGACCCTGGAGGAGTCACAACCTCTCCCAAGATTCAGGCAAGCTCTGTGAACACAATCACAAGGCCTTGCTGTTATTGACTTGTCATTGACTGCCCCTTCAGTGCCTATAGCTCTCTTTAGGTAGCGTGATTCAGTGAAAAGGCCAATCCAGAGGATCTGGATTTGAATCCTGCCTCGGCCACTTGCTCCCTTTGTAACCACAGGCAAAAGTCTTCACCTCCCATGTGTTAAGTGGAACTAGGTGATCTCCAGAGCCCCTTCCAGCTCTGTGCTAATGATCTCCAACCTCAGCAATCCCGGTTCAGTAGAATGGTTCTTAGTAGAAGAAGAATGCCAGCTGGAGAAGCTGGATTTTCTCATCAGAGATCTCTCGGCATAGAAACTTTCTGGGTCTATGGTAGGATCTTTGCCCACAGGGTAGCTAGCTCCCATTTCTAGAATGCTTTAAAGTTTGCAAAGAATTTTGCATGTATTATCTCATTTGGTTTCCATAGCAACCCCATGGGGTAGGTGCCGTTATTATCCTCATTTTACAGATGAGGAAACTGAGGCACAGAGAGATTAAGTGCCTTGCCCAGGGTAACACAGCTAGTGTCGGAGGCAAGATTCAAACCTAGGTTTTCCTGACTCCTAAGTCCAGTGCTGTAGCCACTCTAGCATACTGCCTTTCATATCTATGAATTATGTGTAACAGTTGTACTTAGCAAAAGAAAGGAGATGATTAAGTAACATCTACCCTGTAATGTCATCGCCTCACTTAAAAAGCTTAGTGATAAGTAGATTAATTCACCCCGAGTTGTAATTGGCCAATTATCCCCTCTTTCTCTTTTCTACATTGTAAGACTATTAACTGATCAGGGATGATGAGGCTTTCTCTACTGTTCTGAGGAAAGATTTTCAAGTGGACAGCTCCTTCATCTAAGGTTTAGGATTGCCTTGACTAGTTAGAGAAACTGTCAAAAATTCCCCCAGGAAACTGAAAGGTGTTAGCCAAAGGAAAAGAGCTTGAAAACAGCAGACAAAGGGGTTAGAAATGCAGAGGGGGCAAAGTCAGGCTGACTTAAAAGCAAAACATGTGCCCTAAATTTATGTCCTGAAGCCTTGAGAGGCAGCTTAATGGAATGAATCAACAAGCCCTTAATTAAGCACCTAGCTTAATTGTATAGGATAGAAGGCCAGTCTTTGACCCATGCCTTCTGTCTCTGACAGAGGGAGCGTGTTACTTAACATTTTTATGCCCTAGGCAACTCTTTTTAAGATGATAACTTAGAGCTGAGTTGCAGATAGCCTTCAGTGGAGGGAAATTCCACACCCTGGAAATGGGATCACAGGTCCAGGCCTTCTGAGCCCTCTCTCCTTCCCTCCCTCCCAGGCTAACAAAAATGATGTTTTTGGTTTGAATATAGCCTTTTCGTGTGTTCTTTTTTGTTTTTTTTAATGTGTCTTCTCCAAATGAACCTAAGAAATTTTGTTCCTTTGTATAATAATAATACTGATGATAGCTCCCATCTTATGTAGCACTTGGAGGTTTGCAAAGCCTTTTGCTGACAACCATCTTTCCTATCATACATTATTTTGGTTTTGAGTATGGGGAGAGGCCTGTTTCTAGTTGATTCCATGTGTACTGAAGAGAAAGGGAAATAGGAAAATGAGTAAAAAGCAAGGAAATTTGGCAAGGCTAAAAGAGACGAATGAGGGGTTAGAAATTTAGAGAAACTGAATTGGTATAAACCATTTATGGTATGCTGCAGTCAATTCTGATATAACCCAAAAAAGTGGTTCCCTTTCATAGAATCATTGGATTGAGCCTTGTGTGGGCCATCTCATTGCCTCTTCCTGACAATCATGAGACTAAACCCTGTTCGGGTCTTCTACTTAAGTTGCTGCATGCCTCAATCTTTCTTGTAATCTAATGGATATAGTTGAAATACTTAACCCTGCAGTCTCATTGATATAGGTCTCCCTTCCAGTAGTGTGGATCACAGCCCCTCGGTGCCTGTCCATCCTGTCCGACCCATCTGTGTCCTCCCACATATCCTGGGGGGCCCACCCTATGGAAGGTGCCGGGTCCTTCCTTTAATATTACAAGGGCACCAGGCTAGTACAACAATTGTCCACTCACTTAACCCTCACCCTCAGTGCTTGACCAGCCTACCTCCTTTTCCAGCCATGCTATTGATTGTTGGCGATATGCTTCAGTCAACTCAAGCCTATCCTAAGTCTCTCCATCCCCCTTTGGGTGACCTGCAATTTTGATTCTTTGGAGATTTTGGTATTCCCTAGCGTCCAGAAGGTGGGAGGTGATGGTTGCGCTGCCCTCTGTCCTGGTCAAACCACATCTGGAGTGTTGTGTTCAATTCTGGACGCCACATTTTAGGAGGGACGAGCTGGAGAGTGCCCAGAGGAGGGCAACCAGAATGGTGAGGAGACCGGGGACTCTGTCATACCCAGATCGCTTGAAGGAGCTGAGAATCGTGAACTTGAAGGCAAGGGTTGGGGAGGGGGATGTGCTGGCCAGCTCCAAGTTTCCGAAGGCCTGGTATGTGCAAGAGGAGGATTAGACGCTTGGCCCCAGAAGGCAGAGCTAGGACCAATGGGGGAAAGCTCAACAGAAAGAAAAACTTCCCAACGATTAGAGTTGGGCGGAAGTGGGATGGGCTGCTTCAGAAGATAGTAGGCCTGTGCTTCTAGTCTTTGCTCAAGACCTTCCCTTTGCTGGAAGTCTTCAAGCAAAAGCTGGATGCCCACTTGGCAGAGATGCTGTGGGGGGATTTTGGTCCAGCCACAGTTTAGACTGGGTATTCCCTTCCAACTCTGATTTTGTGCAATTGTGAAGGGCTTTGAATAGCAAGCAAAGGAGTCTGGACTAAATTGGGTGGGCGGGGGGAGCCATTGAGAGCAAGGTTTGTGGAGTAAAAGGGAAGGTAATAACATGATCAGCCCCATGGAGTAGGTGGATTACTTTGCTAGTGGTGCATAGGATGGATTGGTGAGGATGGGAACTAGAGGTTGGGAGACCAGTCAGGAGGCCATGGCTATTCCAGGATAGTGGGAAGCCCTAGACCAGGCTGGTGGCCATGGGAATGAAGGGAAGGGATGGGAGATGGTTGAGGATGTGTGAAATCTTGTGGAGGTAGAGTTACTCCCTCCCCTGTATAAAATGAGGAAAACGGACTTAGTGATCTCTCCAGTCCCTTCCAGCAGCAGATCTGTGGTCCCGTGACCATGAGCAGATGTGCTCGGGGTGGGATGGAGGGGCGTCCGAGAAGTACCTGACAGCAGGTGTGTTTATGGGGGTAATATGAGGACCTCCTTATTAGGAAAGTCAGGAATTCTGGATCATGGAATGGTGGTAACATCACCATAGATGGTGATGTTAAGATCAGGAGTTTCAAGCTGGAAGAGACCTCAGAGGTCACCTGGTCCACCCCTTAATTTTATAGAGGAAAACGTAAGTGCCTTTCAGAAGGGACTGTTCCTTTTTTGGCTTGATATCCCCAGGGCCTTCTATAGTGCATAATAGGAGCTTAATAAATGCTTGTTGATTGATTGGTTGGTTGATTGAGGAAACTGAGACCCAGAGAGATAAAGGGACTTGCCCAGGGCCCCAGGTAGTAAGTCATGTAGCTGAGCTTGGAACCCCGTTCCTGATTCCAAACCCATTAGTTTTCCCGTTGCCCACACTTGCTGATTTTCTCAGCCTAAAAGAGAAACAGAATTCCTGTTTGATCTAAACAAATGCCTTGTTATTGCTCCCTCCTCCCCAGGGTCTTTCAACCTGGGAATCATGTTCTTTTTGTGAGGACGAGGAGAAGGAGTAGAGTGCTTTAATGGAAAATATATGTGCCCGGCCTGAAATAACATAAGAGGCTTTAATTGGGCGTAGGAGGAGACAGTGTGGTGTGGTACAAAGGGTACTGAGTTCGGAGTCCGAGAGCCTGGGCTCCAACCCTGGGCGACCTTGGGCAAAGTCATCTAACCTCTTGGGAAGCCCAGTTTCTTCAGCCGTAAAATAGGGGTGATCATGCTGTGACTCCCTCCTTCATATGGGTGGTACTGGGGACGGCGCTTTGTTGACAGCCAAGGGCTGGTCTTAGGATTTTTCAGCATGATGCTCGGCTTTGGTTTCCTCTGTTATCTCCGGAATGTTTGCTTTTGCTGGGCCCTGGGCGCTCCCTGGCCAGGAAGGCCTTTCCCACTCATGACAGTTCCTTCCTTTGTCTTCCCATTAGGTGTTTGTGGCTAGCAGTGGGAAGTGCAGTGAACTGGAGCACCCCTTTGGGTACCTAAAGGCGAGCACTGCCTTAACATGCGTCAATCTCTTTGTCCTGCCTTACAACTACCCTGTGTTGCTCCCACTTTTAGGTAAGTAAAATGTGTTTTTTTTGAACTGCCTCGCAAATGAAAGAAAAAGAGAAGTTCCCCGTTGTCTGTGTTGGAATGATAGAACACTGATCCAACCCTGATTCTAAACTCGCACTGTTAGTAACTCAGTCTAGGTCAGAGGGGTCTAATGACTCTGTTAATGACTCATTGCTTCTCCAAGTCGGCTGGGACCTCAGTAGCCATCTATTCCAGCTCATGTCTGAACAAGAATACCCTCTCCTTTATCCCCGGCCTTTGCTTGAAGACCTTCAGTGGGGGGTGGCGGGGAAAAGGAGGAACCTCCTACCTCCCCAGGCAGCCTCTTCTACTTTAGGATGCAAGTTTGGATAAGGTAGGATTTCAGCTCCTTACTCTGTGCCTGTCTGTCTTGTGTGGCTTCCTAAGGCCAGAACAGGTATTGCTGTGGGAGCTCCAGGCTTAGGGCCTGTTTCTCGTGGCCAGATGTTTAAAAGAAGCGGCATTTCCCCCAGCGCTGCCTCTGACATACGTCCCCATCTTCCCTGAGGGAAGATCAATCTACCTTGTTCGTTGTTGACTAACTAGCCTGAGAGTTTTAGCTGAGGGATTCTTCTGACCGCTGCATAGTACTGTCTCATCAGTTGGCGAAAAGGCGAACTCCAAGCGTTTTCTTCGGCTTCATGAAGGAAAAAGAAAACCTTCAGGCTAGGAATTTTCCTTGGGGGATAATAACTATAGCAAGGCAGCACTCTAAAGGAAAAAATTTGGAGACTGTGCCTTCTCACTTGGACATCTGTGTGATTTTGTTGGGTGTTAAGGATTTTCTGAAAGTATCAATCTGCCCATGTTCCCCCTTACTCAGTAACATCAAGTGACTCCCTCTTACTTCTAGGATCACATACAAAGGCCTCTTGGGCATAGGATGCCTTTCATAGTCTAGCCCTTTCTGACCTTTCTTGACTCCCATCCCCAGTCCAGGTACACTGGCCACCTTGCTGTCTCCCATAGGTGATGTCCCATCCCCCATGTTTGACATGCTTGACCCCCTGGCCTCTGCCTCCTAGATTCCCTGGCCTTCTTTAGGATTCAGCTCAAGTCCCACCTTCTGCAGGAGGTTGCACCTATCCCCACCTTCCTGCCCAACCACTAGTGCTCTGACATTGCCTTCCTCCCAACTCTCTCTCTAATCTGCTATGTGCATCATTATTTACATGCTGTCTCCTCTGCTGGAATGAGAGTTCCTCGAGGGCAGGGACCAAGGTTTTGCCTTTCTTTGTGCTTAGTGCGGTGCCTGGCACATAGTAGGCACTTAATAAATATCAGTTGCTTAGCCATTTCCTTTGGTAATCCAGTCGACAAGTAACAGCCTGTTTCTGAGAACCGGGTGCAAACAATTCACATTCTGCTGGGGGCGGAGAGGTTGCCCCTTACCCTTCTTATATGTATACCTGTGCCTCCGGGCTTCATGAATTTTTATCAAAAATTTTTCAAAAATCTGTGACTGATGGCTTCCCAAAAAACTTGAAAGCCCCCTTCCTGTTGTTGGCATTCAGGGCCAACCTACCTGGTCATAGAAAAATAGAATGATATAACTTTAAGGATAACAACTGTTGATTTCCTAATAGCAATTTCAGTTGTGCTAAATGCAGCTGATAAATTATAGTTTAGGTGATGTCCTTTGTCTGAATCCTGTGAATTAATTGCTCTTTGTATCAATACCGTGGATTAATTAGTTGTCGATAATAATTGAGCCTGATTTGGACTAAAGGGGTCCCTTTCAGCCTTGATGCTTCAAAATGAGGAAGGGCATTAAATATTAGACAGGTGAACTTAATTGGGGTAGGCCATGGGGAGCCATTAGTCATTTTGAAGTAAGGAGGGGGTTACATGATTAGACCTGTGCATTGCCATTACTTTGATAGTGGCATATAGGATGGATTTGTGAGAGAAGAGATTAGAGACTAGGCGTTCTGTCGGGAAGCTCTTGCAGTTGTCAGGCTAATGGGAATGAGGCCCTGTGCTCGAGTGGTTGCCATGGGAGTGAAGAGGGAAGGAGATAGATATGGATGTGAGAGGTACTGTGTGGGCAGAGACTGTTTCCTCCTCTTTAAAAAGAGGGCTTTAGACTCAGTGACCTCAGAGGTGCCCTTCAGCTCTCAAATCAGCAAGAACAAGTTAGGACATTTGGGTAAAAATATCGAATCTCTCAAACCAATTAAACTGGGCAGGATAAAGATGCAGAAGATTGGCACAACTCCTGATTTATCCGTTATAAATCTGTTGGGAAACACCGACCTAACCATGGAATGAATTCGGGGTACGTGTGTGGAGTTCTGGTTTGTTTCTTGTCATCATTTATTCGCCTTTTGAGACCCAACTCTCATTTGGATTTAATTGCCCAGTGTCATTCCAAGGGAACCATGGCTTGATTTGTCCAGGTCTGAGTTCTCAGGTGGGATACAGGAAGGCGGCTGAAATAGAGTGGATTTGGAGCCAGAGAACCAGGCTTCTGGTCCCACCACCGTACCTTATTAGCTGGGTGGCCTAGGGCAAGTTCTGGGGCCTCAGTTTCCTCTTCTGTAAAATGAAACACTGGCACTAGATGAGCTTGGAAGGGCCCTTCCTCCTCAGAACTGGTGATCTCTTCAATAGATCCTTGACACAGTTCCTTAGGTCAGTATTAGTTTGGTGTGAAATATATATTATAATTATAAAATTTAAGTTTAAAAAAGGAGAAGAGGCGGGTCGTGATTTTTGTAATGGCACAAATTGATTGAGATGAATTCATAGATTTATTTAGTCTGGGAGCATTTTTTTTTCACACGCTATCAGAGAATAAAATTTTTTATTCTTTGACCTTTAAAATTGGAGCATTGATGAGAGAAATGCCGTATTATGTAAAGGCATCACTCTGAATTTCAATCCTAATCAAAACCAATTAGAGCAGAGCCTCACTGACCCACCATCCATCCCTTTTCCTCTCAGTCCTCCACCAGCCCTAACGTCACTGTCACTCCCAGCCTCCTGTTGCCATGGTATCCCTCTCTCCAGGCTCACCCTTCCCCCAACTCAATTTGCCCAGATACAAGAATTCCCAGTCACAGCTCTGAACATGACGACAATACGGATTTGCTCATTTGAATAGATGTTGAAACTCACAGTTGGGATAATGCGATCTTTTCTCATTTTGTTTCCCATAATAGATGAATTGTTCAAGGTTCACAAGCTTAATCCAAGCCCAAAGTGGCGTCAGGAGTTTGATGAGTACATAAAATCCATGCCTGCATACTTCCTACCAGTATGTAATATATATATATATATATATATATGCATATATATACATATATGTATGTACGTGTGTGTGTGTGTGTGTGTGTGTGTGTGTATGTATGTGTATGTGTGTATGAATTCAAAGAGATGGGTACCAGTCCCAGAGAGCAGTGACGCATGAGCCTTGACAGGCAGTGTGATTCCTCTCCATGTTACCCACCGTAGCAACTGGAGGGGTATGCAATAATTTGTAATGGCATGAAGGAACAAAATACAGCTTTTCTACTATTGGACTAAATGAGATTTTTGCCTTTTGTGCCTCGTAATTTGTCTTCTGGTGCCAGGAAGATTTTAAGATGGCTCTTCTCAGTTTAGTTTGTAAAACTCACTTTCTGGGACTGGGCCCGTCTCCTTTGGATTTTAAGAATAAACTTATTTGTGTTCACATACTGTTCGTGTATTATTGGGGTTTTACCTGCTGTCTTGAAACAAACACACATTAGTGCTTAATTGTGTGTAAGGTACCACACTAGATGCTCAACCAGGGAGGGCGAGGATTGCTAAGAAGCTGCCTAGTCTATCCCATTCTCCTTTTTACAAATTGAGGCCTCAAAGCAGGAAACTAGTTATAAGAATTTGTTCAATTCTAACATGGTAAGTGGGGATAGACAGGCTAAATGAATTTCATCATCCAACTCATTTCCAGGATTGACTGGAGAAACCTGAAAATTAGGCCCCTTTATCCATTCATTGGTTTGCATGTGAAAAGAAAACAAGCACCGTGACCTTTGACTTTTTCCAGAATAACTTTAGGGACCAGGGCCTTAGAGATAGAGAGCCAGCAATCTGTTGTTTAAAGTTGTTCTCCCTTCTGTTCTAGTGTTTCTACTTTCCTGTACTTTCCTCTGCTTCTGTCCTCTCTTATTTTCATTACTCCATAATGTCTCATGTGTAGCTCTGTGCATAAGTATTTATTTTTACTTCTGAGTAGTTAAACCATGTCCTTGAACTGAATTTTGAAGTATTTTATGTTTCTCTCTGTTCACACTGTGGTGTATTTTGTTTCTTTATAGCCATTAAAGAAAGCGCTAATGATGATGGGAGCTCCCAATGTGATAACAGAAAATTTAAACTCTGGACTTAGTTACAGCATCATCTCTTACCTTAAGAAACTCAGTCAGCAGGTAGTATTTGTAACTTTAATTTTAGTTTTTAAAAATTGTAAATGTAAACCAAAAAAGGCTTTGCCCTTGGAAGTGTATTTTCTTATTCACTAATTTCAATATGATTTTATAACTATGTGTATATCTGTACTTTCTAGATTATTGACAATGAAATTATCACTGCCCCTTGAAGTACAATTAGAAATTTGTTAGTAACATGTGCTAACATCTATTCCTCCCTTCCACTGCCAGTTTGTACTAACCAGCAGACTGGTAGCTATGCTGTGTTCTGAGAGGGTTAGATGCTTGGCAGAACCAGTCTGGGGGGGCCATGTTTTTTCCTCACTTTAGATCTAGTTTCTAAGCTCTGGCTTAGCGCATCCCTTGTTTGGTTTTATTTTGGTTGATTCCAGACCTCTGGCTGTGGTGTGGAAACTCCCTCCCCCCATCTGGCACTTCTTAGCTCAGCGTGTTGCCTCCTGGGACACTGCCAAGTTAAGTGGCTTTCCCTCAGTCATAGTCACACATCTGGTTCGTCTCAGAGGCTGCGTCTTCCTAACTCCAAAGGTGGCCCTCTCTCCATCACGCCTCATTGCTTCACATTCCCATTTTATAGGAAATTTTATGTCAGGAAATTGAGGCACAGACTCATTGAACCTCCTGAAAATGTAGGTTCAGGGAGGAACCAGACAATCAGAAGTAGCAGCAGAAGGGGCAGAGGGTGTTTTGGCTGTGAGAAGTTCAGGAGCATAGTGAACTTCCAGGGTGGAGATGTTTCTTTGGTATAGTAGAGAAAGTCCAGAGAGTCAAGAGGGCATCCTGGGGACATACTTAATTCCAGTAGGGGCTGTTGAGTACCAGTACCCAAAATGCACTCGCCAAGCTGCAAAGTCTTCAGAATTCCTTGGGACCTACTGAACATGACAGGAAAAGGGAAGGGAATAAGCATTTATTAAGTGCCTCCTATGGGCCAAGCACTACACTAAGCATTTTATAAATATGATCTCGTTTGATCCTCACCACGACCCTTTGAGGTAGGTGCTGTTATTTTCTCCATTCTACAGGTGAGGAAACTGAATCAGACAGCAACTGAGTGACTTGCCCAGGATCACACAGCTAGTAAGGGTTTGAGCCTGGATTTGAACTCGTTTGTCTGACTCCAGGCCCAGTGCTCTGTGTACTCTGGCGCCACCTAGCTTAGATTTCTAGAAGACATAGAGTGTGTCTAGCAATAGAGGATTAGTTAGTGTTTTTCTCAAACCTTTTGTTTTCAAGCAAAAGTTGGTTTGAAAAATGGAAATCTACAACTTTCCCCCCAGCCCCGCTGATCACGTCACTGTGAGCAAATCAGTTAACTTGTCGGCGCCTCAGCCAACTGTCCAGGGCTGTAGATATTGGAGAAAAGGTGCTGATTTGCATTGACAGAGAATGTTCTTCCCTCATCCTGTGCTGAGGAAGTCATAGATCCAGTTTATTTTTTAAAAGGAATCGATAGGTGAACCCTAAGTGCATTCCATTTGATTTTAATAGTAAATACTAGCTGAGGAGGCTTAGCCTTTTGGTTTACAGGCTGAGTTCAAATCTGGCCTCAGACACTTAATAGCTATGTGACTCTGGGCAAGTCACTTAACCCTGTTTGCCTCAGTTTCCTCATCTATAAAAGGAGCTGGAGAAGGAAATTTCGACAAACCACTCCAGTATCTCTACCAAGAAAACCCCAAATAGGGTCACAGAGAGCCAGACACCACTGAAAAACAACTGAGCAACATTCTGAAAAGTTTGTGTGAACCAGATTTTTTTTCTTCTTACGATTAACTTGTAATGTTTTCCCAGTGTGAGTGCTTTGGAGAGGTTGCTGGACCTGGAGTCAGAGGAGCAGGGTGGGCAAGATCACTAGTGTGACCATGGGCAAGTCATTCAGCTCCCCTGGGCCTTGGTTTCCTGCTCTGTTAGCTGGCTAAGATGACCTCAAAGTTCTCTCAAGGCTTTGATTATAAGACCCCCAGACTGGAAGTTAAACCATTTGTTAGTGAAGACGTTTGTCCTTCTGCACCCCACTGGACAGCACCACTCCTACTCAATGGTTTTGGGTGTCATTGACAGCATGGAAAGGAATGGTTGCCTTAGAAGAAACACACGATTGTCTGTTGGTTCAGCCATTTAGGATAATAATGATGTGGAAGGGAAAAGGAAATTGGGGGCCTCCTAAAGTATTCTTTTATGTATTGTTGACTAAACAGAGATAAAGTAAGTCTGTTTCCACATGCTATATGCTTTTCTTTTAGAGCAAACTTGAGTTGGAGAGAAGGAATGCATTGGTAGGGAAGAAGCCTCCCTTTGAGGGTGGAATCAAACTGAAAACTGTGTCTGCTGGCTGCCCTATGATTTCTGGTACTGACTTAGAGCTCCAACTGCAGCCTACGACCTCAGACGAAGCTCCCGTCAGCCTGCTCGAAATGAGTGGAAAACAGCCCTCTAGCTTCAAGTTAGCACTCCCAAACAAGGTGAAGTATCCCAGCAAGCAATCACCCACCGTTTCAAAATACCTCCCATTTGCCAGGCACCAGGGGTACAAGTACAGAGAAGAAAACAATCCTACTTCTAAGGGGCTTGCATTCTAATAGGGGAGATGACAAGAACTGAAATATTTGGAGCAAAAGTACGCAGTGAATAAATACAAATCTAGCCAAAGTGGTTGAAGACCAGGAATTTTGGGAGGGAGGGCACTAACTGTTTGAGGGGATCAGGGAAGGCTTCATGTAGCAGACTGACTGAGCCTCATCTTCAAGGAAGAGGCTCTTGAAGTTGGAGGGAAGAAGAGAGGCGTGGGGACTGGCCAATGTAAAGACATTGAGACAGGAGTTCCAGAGGTTGTGGCATGTTGTATGAGCAGCAAAGAGGAGGCCACTCGGCTGTATTACAGAGTGGAAGAGGGAAGATAACGTCCACTGAGGCTGGAATGATAAAAAGTTTATATTTGATCATAGAGACAACATGGAACCACCGGAGTTGTTTGAGTAGGAGTATGACATGTTCAGATCTGTGTTGAATTGACTTTGGCAGCATGTGGAGCATGGGTCAGAGAAGGGAAAGACAAGGCAGGGAGACCAGCTTGAAGGCTGTTTGCAGTAATCTAGGGGAGAGGTGATGGGCCTGAGCTAAGGTGGTGGCTGAGTGTGGATAGAAAGGGTTGGATCAGAGAGATCGAAAGAGTAGGATCTGGCGCTAGGGGTCGAAGGACAGTGGGAAGAATGCTGAAGCACTGAAAGGATGGTCATGTCCTCTGAAATAGGGCAGCTTGCAAGAGGGCAGCTTTAAACATTGGCTTGAAGGCATGAATGTTTTCTATAGAACCTGAGATTTGAAATAGCCAGAATCCTGCTTTACAGGAAGCTCTTTGGCATCTACTTTGAAAGCCATAATTAGAAACTGGACTAAATCGAGATATTAACTGTTCTTGCTGCCTTGTTTCGAAAAGGATATTTTCCCAACAGTTGGACTCCGTTAAAAAATAAGTTTTACTGATGCTTTTTTCATAGTCTTTTCTGGAAATATACCCCTCCTCTCCCCTCCCCTCCCACACCCTGGAATTGAGCCCTCCCTTGTCACAAAGGAAAACTGTACCTGAAGAAGAAGTTAAAGAGACCCAATGATCTTGTCAGACAATGTATACAGCATTCAGCCCTAATATCCCCCCATCACTCTGCCTAGAAGAGGGAAAGAGGATCATCACTCTCGAGCTGGAGTTCGGAACCACTGCAGTCTTCTAGCCCTTCATTTTAAAGAGGAGGAAACTGAGGCTCAGAGCTGGGATTGAAACTCAAGCCCTGTCATTCCACCTTTGGCATTTTTTCAACTAGTTATCTGTTCTCGTGGACCATTAGTGGTTTTCAGTTCCTCGGAGTTTGACTTCCTTTTAGTGATATTTTCATTTTCATTGTTATGCATCATTCAGCATGTTCTGCTCCCACTGATTTCATTCTGCATCAGTTCACGCAAAGCCTTCCTATGTTTCTCTGAATCTCTCTTCAGATGATAGTTAAGAATGCATGAGAAGTTTCTGAGTTAAGGCCAGGGATCAGGAATTTCCTCCCCTGTGTTAAATCACTCTTAACCATTTGAACACAATTAAGTTTATCGTTTGCCCAGAAGCATCCACCCTAATCAACATTCCTCACACTTTGGTTAAAACAGGAGATGAAGCCTCACCTGTACAAAAATCCTTTTGACATTCCTCGGAACTGTCTTTTGGATCAGTTAACTAGAATGAGAGCCAGCCTGCTGAACACATACACAAATGTTGTTGGACAAAACGAAGGTGAGTGAACCCCAAGAACGAGATTTGGATGATTTCTACATTATTAGACTGGCCTGCGTATAGATAGGATTCTTTTTTTTTTTTTTTTTTGGCTAGGCAGTGGGGTTAAGTGACTTGCCCAGGGTCACACAGCTAGTAAGTGTCAAGTGTCTGGTCTGAGGTTGGATTTGAACTCAGGTCCTCCTAACTCCAAGGCCAGTGCTCTGTCCACCGTGCCACCGAGCTGCCCCCTAGATAGGATTTTTTGTTCAGGGAAGCATTGGCCTTGGAGGTCCCTTTTAACTCAGACATTCTCTGCTGCTGCTATTGCTGACGGCCTTGCCTTGTTTGCATATCCTCACAGACTCCTCTCACAGTACTCCAATTACACAAATGGGCAACTATCAGGAATATTTAAAGACTATGCCTCCTCCACTTCGGGAGATTGATTCAGACCAACCAAAAAGACTTCATACATTTGGAAATCCTTTCAAGCAGGATAAGAAGGTAAGATAAGCAGCCCCATTTTTGCCCAAACAGATGCTCCATATGATAATATCTTTCTTTCTTTTTTTTTTTTCTGGGGGGAGGTAATTAGAGTTAAGTGACTTGCCCAGGGTCACACAGTTAAGTAAGTTTCCGAGACCAGATTCGAAAACGCAGGTCCTCCTGACTCCAGGACCAGTGCTCTATCCACTGTGCCACCTAGCTGCCCCTCCATACTATCTTTCTTGATGAGATCTTTATGTGTCAAAAATTGGCCATCTTACTTTTGGAGGATTAGAAATGACCTCTGAACTGCTACCACTTTCCTGCTGAAAGAAGACCCTAATTGGGGATGGGGGTGGGGGGAATCCTGTTGTTCCCTGATCACTGCCATCAGCTTGTTTATTGCAAAGCCTTGCTGTTCTTGGTGTTGGCTGGGTGGCCTTAAGGAAACGGGGCTTTTAAACATGAATTACCATAGTGAATGAATGGTCCTGTTATAGACAGTTTTTGCAATTGAGAAAGGGAACTGAGAAGAAAGAAGGAAAAGGCATACAGATGCTAACATTGTTTATTATTGTTTTAGTTGGTTGTAATATTTTTATCTGTGCTAATGGACTATACCGGTAGGATGAATAATCCCAAACAACCAATAGTCTCTATAATAAAACCCCAATTAATTAAATTCCAAGTATTCAGAACTCTCAATTGGCATTTCCACCACCCCACCCCACCCTTGTATCTTAACTTTTATGAAAGAGAAAATGCCAAAGAAAACTCCTTTATAATGGGAATTTATTCCCCAAAGCAATCTCTCCAGTATACCCAGGGATTAATACAGTTTCAGCCCAGTCTCTTACCCCAGTGGTTCCCAACCTTTTCAAGTATGAAGACCCTTTTTTAACGGTAAAGCACAATATAAGTCCCACATTGTACTAGAGTCCTGTGGTACTATTTTACTATTAGGATCTGGTGGTTCAGAATGTACAGAAGACTACCGTGACATCACTAATTCTTTTAAATGAATTTTCATTTGTTCAGTCACGACTGCACCTACATGCATTTGTAAAATAGTAATGCATGTTTGTGAGACATGCAGTCAAAAGCAGGTAGGTTAACTTATTTATAGACTCAGATAGATTCCTGGACCCCTTACGATAACTCAGTGGCCCAGATGTATAGAATAGCTGACTGTCCTTCACCATATACTCAGCATATACAGAGTGGCTGCTGTGTACCCAGCACTGTGCTAGGCTGTGCAGGAGGTAGAAAATCTTCATAAGACACATTCTCTGCCACTACAGAGCTTGAGGTCTAGTGGGCAGGACAGAAATAAGACACATCTATATGGATTTAGTTCTTTTCTTTGGGTCCAAGACCAGGGATTTCATTTGGGGTAGGGAATTCTGTTATGAAAATCCGTTTCCCAAACACAGGTGAACAAGTAAACTGTTCCTTGGGATTTCAGAGAGTTGCCTGGGGCACTGAGAGTTGTTCCAGAAAATAGTGTGGGAGGGCCCTTTTTTTGTTTTTTTGGGGGGGGGGGGTGGATTTTTGGAGGTGATTTTTTGGAGGTAATCAGGGTTAAGGGTCCAAGGTCACACAGCTAGTAAGCATCTAAGGTTAAATTTGAACTCGGGTCCTCCTGACTCCAGGGTCAGCTGTCTATACACTACAGCGCCACCTACCTGCTCCTTGTAATATTTTTTTTGGTTTTTGGAGGCAAGAGGAAGGTACATTCTTGAGGGATGTGGTATAGCCAACCACGTCTTTCCAGCTACGTAATTGACTTAAAGGTTTAGAGAATACAAAATATTCCTGTTTTTGTTTGTTTGTTTATTTGTTGACTTAAAAAAAGTTTGATTCAACAGTGCAAGGCACTGCCCTAAGGATGCTCCTCCAACATATTTCAAAGTCCTATAAGATTTAGAACAACTTGGCCTAACCCAATATAAGAAAAATCAGGTGGGTGAAGAATGTCTATGGTCAGATACAGTTGAATGGACAGCCCACGTAGCTTGTCCATCAGCATAGATATGTTGAGGCAGACACTACAAATGGACTATGGCGTGGGCCTAGAAATGAACAAGAAGAAAACAGGCTGGATTGCCTTTTGAAAACTGCATAGTGCTTTTAATGAGCCTTTTTGACATCAGTATTCTTCCAATGATGTTATATGGCTCTGAGTCAGCATACCACAGTCTCTGAAGAATTAAACCTGAGGGTCTTTCAAAAAGCAATGGGGCAATACATGTTGGGTGTGAATAGGCAGCAATATTACCAACAACTTGCACAAGAGAAGTTGTTTGTAAAAAAAAAAAAGAATCAGAAATGTGACCAGAAAAGGAAGTTGACTATTCCTGTTGGGAGAGTTAGGGTCAATTGGTAGATAACCCACATGATCCATTGGTGTCTATGCAATGGCTAGAGAGCTAGAGGAGGGTCCGTGGCAAAGAAGTACTGAAAAATCAGCACAGTTCAACTTAACTTTGCAATGATTGACATTTAAATAAATGACTGTCAACAGAAGGAGGGAATTTAGATAGGGCTGCACCAACCTTAAGAGGACCTCATTACCAGGTAAAGGAGTCTGATTGTCATCTACAGCTAAAGATCAGTGACATGATTATTGATCTTCTTTATCGTAACTTCTAGAGGGGGGACTGCTTTTAAAACCTTGAATCAGCACAACCAAATTACATTTATGAGCTTATACTTAATTAGCCAGAAAAGGATACTGATACATTTGGAAATAATAGTTCACCCCGAGGATTAAAGTAGGACTATGTTGCTTAAAAGAGATAGTGCACAGTTAAACAAATTTTGATTTAAAAAAAATTTTGGTTAACCAGAATATATCTCATTCCCAAATGCACATGGCTTTGGATTGTACTACCTATATATTTTGCAACAAATTCACATTCTCTCTTGTTTTATTTAGATGATTGGTCAAACTAGTCTGCCTTTCCCTGGGCATAGTGTTGTAGTGGGAAGAAGCAGACCCAGGATTAAAACTGATTGTGGATAATCAAGTGGTTACCATATTCCAAATTAGCATGTGAAAATCGTGCTATACTTGGCTGAAGTTGAAACACTTATGAGCAGAATCATCAAAGCACGGTTCCCCAATACATCCAACTGAGGCTTCACGTAAAGAGGCAAAATATAAAATCCAAATGCAATGGCTTGGGCAGTGTGTTGCTTTGCATGGTGTGTTGTTTTATTTTTCTTTCCTATTGGAATTCATCTGTTGATGCTTTTTAGGGGATGGTGATTGATGAAGCTGAAGAGTTTATGACAGAACCTCTGAGCAAAGTTAAGTGCTGGGGGAATCGTAGCTCTCTGGGATCCCTGAGGAACAAACAAAGCTTGTCCCCATCCCCTCTATCAAAGACGTCACAAACTGCCACCACCAGTGAAAAGGAACTGCCATCAGCCTCTTCAGTGGCATCATCTTCAGTTCTCAAAAAACCCACCTCATCATACGAAGGTATATTCATAATTCTATTTTCCCTGAGCCTTCCAGAAGAGTTAGACTTGAAACTTTTTAGAGAAATATTGTTGCTTCAGGACTCACCTTCCCATCTTGGCCTTCCCAAGCTGCACGGTGGCCAAGAGATGGCTGGGTACACTATCCATGTGTTGTCTGTACATAGCTCTGGCAAGTAGCTTATGGCTCTAACATAGCTTGAGTTCACCCTTGTATTCAACAAACATTTATTAAGCGCCTTTGTTTAGGGCACTTGCTAGGTGCTGGTCTGAACACAGGGCTTTACGCATATATGCCTTTATGTGTGTATGCATATATGTGTGTATATCCACAAAGATATATGTATATGCATACATACACACACACACACAAAATTCTCACTCTACCACTTCCTACTTCTGTGATCCTGGACAAGTCCCTTCACCTGCTTGGGCCTCAGTTTCCTTGTCTGTAAAATGAGAAGACCAGCCTCGATGGCCTTTGAGGTCCCTCCCACCTCTCGATCTAGGGGCCTGTGTTCCATGTTGCCCTGTCTTGTCATCCCCGTGACGTTGCTCTTCCCTCGTGTATCACGCAGTCGTCAGTCCTGGACATGTCCTGCCTTAGTTCTCGTTCACACTCGTTGCATAGCCATTAGCAGTCGTTGACATTGCCCTTGCCTGCTGTCTTTCAAGTGCTCTTCGCCCCTTTCTCTCTTGGGAGCAGTGATGATTCTTCCTCACCATCATCTTGCTCCTCCTCTCTGTTCTAATCCACCCAAATCCCCAAATAAACAGTCATCATTCCTTCGAATGAGTGAAGATCATTAACAAGTCTTGCCTAAAGCTTCCGGGCACCGTGTCAGACACGGGAGCCCTCGGGCTGTATATCTTGTAGACACCATTGTTTTCTCCTTTTCACCAATTTCTTAGCATAATCCTTCAGCCTAAACAACAAGCCTCTGACAACTTGTGTTTGCAATGGAGAAGTTAAAACATTCTGAGGCAGACTAGTACAGTTCCACATTTCTTTTGTAGCTTATAAAACAAAAAGGATTAGACATGAAGCCAGCAGATTGTAAGCCAGGTACTTACAAATAAATAGCGGACTTTTTTTTTTTTTTTTGGAAACCTACCACTTCCTGTAGGTATTCATCGTGCAAAAGGAAAAGGTGGTTAGGGTCATCCTCTTGAATTTGAGTTATGTTTGTCGGGAGGTTTTTGCACCATAAGTCACTTGAATTAATTGGCTGGTTTCATTTTATCCTCTCGCATTTGAAGAAAGTAATAACTGGTGGTAATTTGCCCCTAAATGAGGACCCAAACTTTATGACCCAATGAGTCCTCTCTCAATTCCATATCTTAATGTGATTTCCAGATTCGAGTGTAGGTCCAGATGACAGTGAAGAAAGGTTGGAAGATGCTCATTTTCCAGTTAGTTCATCATCACAGTCAGTTGAAGCTGTGGATGAAGCTAGCATTCTCAGAAATGATTTGGATGCTCTGCTCAACGAGTTGAATAGCTTGAGTGGTGGGTTAGTCTACACAGCCAGTGGTAACACTGTTGGTAGAGGATCTGGAAATTGCAGTCTCTCCCCAAATGACCAAACAGCAGCAGCAGCAGCCGCCGAAGCAGCAGCACCAGCAGCAGCCGCCGAAGCAGCAGCAGCAGCAGCAGCAGCAGCAGCAGCCGCCGAAGCAGCAGCACCAGCCGCAGCAGCACAGTCGACTTCTGCATCTGAGTCCAATTTACTGAACGACCCACAGGAGGAAAGTGAAGCTAGTTTAAAAGTTCAAATACTGAAGGAGGTGCGAAAGCCCGGAAGAAGTAAGTATTTAAAGAGCCTGTCAGCACAGTAACTGATGGAGGGCCGATAGCTGCCATGAGGGAAAAACAAAACCAAGCAAAACTGTCATTTGCTATAGTCAGGTTTTAACCCATCTTTGGATGGCTCTTATTTGGCACTGCTTATAACTCTGTTAAGCAAGACCATCTGATAAAGCAGCTGTGACTGACAAAACATGTAACATTCTACTCTTGCAGTTTACCATTCCTTAAGAGAGAGGAAGGAAGTGTATTTTAACATCAGTCATCTGGAGTCAACATTGGTCATTGTATTTGATCTGAATTGTGTTGTCTTTCCTTTATGTCATTGTATTTTGTTCTCCTGGATCTGCTTACTTCATTTTGCATCACTTCTTACAAGTCTCCCCATGTTTCTCAGAATTCTTCATAGTCATCATTTCTTATAGCACAGTAATATTCTATCAAATTCATGTACCATAGTTTGTTCAACTGTTCCACCAGTTGGTGAGCATATTTGTTCCCAGCTTTTTGCTACTACAAAAGGGCTGCCATGAATACTTTGGTACATAAAGGATATTTCTGTCATTGACCTCCTTGAGGTACATGCCCAGTTATGGGAGTACTGGGTCAAAGGGTATGAACAGCTTACTCACTTTTCTCACATAATTCCAAATTATTTTCCAGAAGAGCTGAAGCAATTCACAGCCCTACCAACCATATTTAGTGTGCCTTTCTTACTGCAGCCTCTCCAACATTGATTATTCCCATCTTTTATTGCATTTGACAGTTTGATCTATGTGAGATAATACCACAGAATTGTTTTAGTTTGCATTTTGTGGCTCAGTGGATACAGCACTAAGCTTGGAGTCAGGAAGACTGAGTGCAAATCCAGCCTCAGACACTTACTGGCTGTGGGACCCCAGGCAAGTCACTTCACCTCTGTCTGCCTTAATCCACTGAAGAAGGAAATGGCAAGCCAGTCCAGTATCTTTAGCAAGAAAACTCCACGGACAGCATTGGCATGCTATAGTCCACAGGGTCACAAAGAGTCAGGCATAACTGAACAACAGCAATTGATGATTTAGATAATTTTCTCATAGGATTGTCAATAGTTTGCATTTCTTCTCTTAATAACTGTTCATATCCTTTGGCAAGGTATGGTCACTTATTAGCACTGAGTTCACCTCCTGGAGCCCTTTTTTTTTAAGTTTTATCAATGCCTTTTTTAAAACATCACAGTCACTTCCCCATATATTCCAGTCCCACCCTCCCAATAGAACCCTCACTTGTAAAAAAGGAAAACAGGTAAACAAAACCAACACAACGACCACGTCTGACAGCCTGTGTGACATTCCCCACCACTCTGTCAAAAGGAGGGAAGTGTGTTTTGTCATCTACCCTCTGGAACCAAGGTTGGTCATTGCACTTAATCTGAGTTCGGATGCCTTTTATTTTCCTTTGTATTACTGTGTATATAGTTCTTCCGGTTCAGCTTTTTCCACTAGACTCTACTTCCTACAAGCCTTCTCATGTTTCTCTGAATTCTTCACTTTCATAATTTCTAGTGGAACAGTAGGATCCGTTACCTTCACATTCCCCAGTCACTTCAGCCGTTCCGCAGTTGGGGGATGCCAGCTTTATTTCTAGTTCTTTGCTACCCAAAAGAGAGAGATGCTCTCCATATTTTGGTCTATGTGGGAACTTTGCCATTTCCCCCCATGGGCCACATGCCTAGTAGTGGAATTGCTTGGATCAAAGGATATGAATGGTTTGATAGCTTTTCTGGCCTACTTCCAAATTGTTTTCCAGAATGGGCACAGTGATTCCTGGTATCACCAATAGTGTATTTGTGTGCCTGTTTTCCCACAGCCCCTCTAATAGTGACTATTTCCATCTTTTTGTCATCTTGGCCAATTTACTGGATATGAGGAGAAATCTTCAGAGTTTTCATTTGCATTTATCTTAGTGATGTGGGTCATTTTTTTTTACGTGGTTATTGATGGTTTACGTCTCTCTTTTGAAAACTGTTCATCTTCTTTGACAAGTACTGTCACTTCTTCATTTTGAGTTCTTGATTATAGAAATCCCCAGATGAGATCTCAGGCCACAAGCCTAGGTTCTTCATCCTTATTGCAAATAGCAATCATAATAATAACAATAATGATAATGCATTCCCCAATGGCAAGCAGGGAAGTGAATTTTTGACGATGTGCCCATCAATAATGGTAGACTCCCTTGGACTTCTTACTACGTTGTAATTGATCTGTGTTGGGAGAGGGAAAGTCCTACTCTGGGGAAGTATGTGCCCATCAGTAATGGCATGTATCTCTTTAGAGTAAGCAGAACATAGATAGTGGGCAGAGTGCTGGGCTTGGACTCAGGATAATCTGCATCCAAATCTGGCTTCTGAAGCTTAACCAGCCCTGTGATTCTTGGAGTATCTCAAGCAAACTTCCTTGGACTTCTTACTAACTATGTTGCAATCTGTGTTGAGGGAGGAAAAACCTTACTCAGGGGAAGTCCTAGATCTTTCATATATTTGTGTGTGGAGCATACCAAATGTGGGTCTGAAATAGAGCATTTTGTAATAATGCTGTTTATCAAGACAGAGTATACTATTAGAAGAAAAACAGTATGTAATAATAATAAGAAGAGTAGCGAACATTTACGTAGTGCTTACTATGTGCCAGGCACTGCGCAAAAGCGCTTTATGATTATTATTTCATTTGGTCCTCACAACAACCTTGGGTGGGAGGTGCTATCATGATTCCCATTTTGCAGGTGAAGAAGCTGAGGCAGATGGGTGAAGTGACTGGCCCAGCGTCACACAGCTAGGAAGTGTTAGAGATCAGATTTGACTCGAGGCCCAATGCTTTATCCACTGTAACAAGAAGAAAAAGAAGAATAACAACAACAATAAGCTGTATCAAGCCAGCCTTGAGAGAGCTTGTTTTTATTTTTGTTTTTTGTTTTTGTTTTTATTGTTTAATTTTTTCTTTTATTTTACATTTGCAAAGCCCTTTCCAAATGTTATCTCATTTGATCCTCACCAGAGCCCCCAGGAGGGAGGTGCTCCTGACATATATGAAAGTTCTTTAGCTTGGATGCAAACAAAAGGAGGTTTGCCCAGATACTGCCCCTGGTGCTAGCTAAGCTCATGGTTTTTTCTTAGCTCTAGTTTTCTTGAATTCAACAACAATTTCAGGGCTTTAAGAGGGGAAAAAAACATACAGAAAACACTGTGTTTTTAATGCCTTCAGATTATGAAAAGATCTTCACTGTGCTTGAAAAACTACATGGATCTGTGGAAACCCAGAAACGTTTGATTTTTATTGCAATCAAGGAGGCAGCAAGGTTTGTATTGAGCAGAGATGCTCAGGCCTTACAGGGCAGGGGCAGGGTTGGGGCCGGGAGGGTTGATAGCTTTTAACTCCACCTTTATCCCGCTTCCGTTTACCACCAAGCGGGTGAGCAAGAGCCTGAGAGGAAGCCTGGATCTAGTGCAAAGAGAACTAGATTTGGAGTGACCCAGCACAGTTCAGATGTCATCTCTGGCCCTTACTGCCTGTGCGACTCTGGGCAAGTCCTTTCTCCTCTTTAGGCCTCTGTTTTAGCCTCTAAAATGAGACCATTGGACTAGAGAATGGTTATGGGCCCTTTGAGCTCTGACATTCTGTGATCCAGCACCACAACTAGTTTGACTAAGAGCTTTTGAAGCTCTCCAGGAATTTTCTGTCCTCATCAGGATCCAAACTGCAATCATGAGGCAGAGATAATGAAAAGAGTGAAGAAAGGGATTAGAGGCAGAGCCAGTACCAGATGGTCTTTGGCCAAGATTTCAAAGGCAGAAAGGCCCACCTCTAGATAGTGCCTTTGACTACAAGAGCCTTTCTTAAAGTACTGTGGTGACCATTTCGGGGTCACCTCCAGTCATCCTGATTTATATCTGGCCACTGGACCCAGATGGCTTCGAAGGAGAAAATGAGGCTGGTGACCTTGCACAGCCCTCCCTCACTTAAATCCAGTTCACTTGGAAGTCATGGCATCACCTTCCTGAAGTCTTGATCCCCTTGGCAAACGAAGGACAAACATCAACCTGTGAGTGACAGTTGGTGGAAGATACTAAAATGATCAGCAGTTCCTCCTTTGTGTACTTATAGTGGCGATAATAATAGGGCCTACCTCACAGGACTGTGAGAATCAAATGAAATAACATTACATGAAGCTTTGCAAACTTTAAAGCATGCATCAGTGCTGTGGTTGTTCAGTCGTTTTTAGTCATGTCTGACTCTTTGTGACCCCGTTGGGGATTTTCTTGGCAAAGATACTGGAGTGGCTTGCCATTCCCTTCTCCAGTTCATTTTACAGATGAAGAAACTGAGGCAAAGTGGGGTAAGTGATTTGCCCAGGGTCACATAGCTAGTAAGTGTCTGAGGCCAGATTTGAACTGGGGTCTTCCTGACTCCAGGCCCTATCCACTGAGACACCTCGCTGCCTCCTTATCAGTCGTAGCTATTATTATTAATAAATTCCTTTGCAAGCTTTATTTTCCAGTTTTATAAGCTGATGCTAGTGGCAGACTCATCAAAACTTATACTTGTGGTTTCACAAAGTATTTTTCTTCTCAGCAGCTCTATAAGGCAGGTAATATAAAAACTAATATCTCTGTTGTTGTTTTAAAATATATCTTTTATTTACTTCATTAAATATTTCCCAATTACATTTAAAAAATTTTTGACATTCTTTTTTTTAATTTTTGAGTTCTAAATTCTCTCCCTTTCTCTTACCCTACCCCCATCCCTGGAGAAGGCAAACAATATGATCTGGATCATAGTATCCCCATTTTACGTTTGAGTAAGTCAGAGAGGCTATGTCATTTGTACAGGGTAACATAACTAATGATGCCTTAGAAGCCTGGGACAGGGGAGGAAGGGTAGCAAAGCCAGGCTTCAGACTCATCTTCCAAGTTCAGTGTTCTTTCTACTCCATCAAGCTCCCTTTTTAAAGAGCGCTGAGCGAACCTATTGAGTTCCTAACAAGAATGTTGATTTATGTTGCGAGGCGTGGGACATTGTGCTCATTGGACTAAAGAGCACATCCCTAAAAGGAGAGCTCTTTGTAGCTGTATGTAGCCAAGCTACTTGAGGGCAGAGAATCTTTCGTCTTGCTTTTGTATCTCCAGGGCTTGGTAGGTAGTAGATGCTTAATAAATGCTTGCTAATTTGTTGATTACACTGAAAAAGAACCCACACTCAGGCTTTATACAAGCCATATTTGAGAGGAAACCCAGGGTCCATACTCATACCAGTATGATGACTATAAGATACTCTCATTTTCAGCCAACTAGAATAAGTAAGGTTTTCTGGCATATTACAAGAGGGACAAAGCACAGGGGATAGGGTTTCAGAAGAGTCAATTCCAGGATTTGACCTCCAGATGTTACAGATTCAGTTCAATCTCCAAATATAGTACATATGGTAACTTGGTTAACCCAAGCAGTCTCTTGACCTGAACACCTCTTTTTCTTATCTGAGATCTCAGTATCATCAGTTTGGAGCTGACAGGGGCCTATTGCATCTGTATATGAGATGTTGACATCTCATATGCAGATAAATAAATACAAGGTTGAAGTAGGAGAGAACACTGATAAATTGGGGGATTGGAGAAGACTTCTTGGTGTAGAGGTCACCACCTGGGTTGAGCCCTGACGGAGAAGGATTCTGATAGGCAGAGGTAAGGACAGACTTCTGCTCACCTTGATTTTCTCAGTAAAGCAAGAGATGGTGTCATCCGTGGGAAGGATTAGGATATAAATTGGGAATAGTCATTTCAGAGAGTGTGTATCCACTCGGTAAGAAGAAAAGGACTGACGTGCATCAGTAAGGCCCCAGTTGGTCCAACAACGTGAGGATGTAGTATACCCAACATGTCTTAAATCATTTTCACATCCCCCTCAGCACCTAGGATGTAGAAGTTACTTGAACAATATAATATGCTGGTTGATGGAATCTTTTTTTATAACTACTTGCAGGTTTAAAAAACGAGTTCTAATTCAACGCCTTGAGATGCTGTTAGAAGAAATCAGCTTCAGCAACTTCCCATCCCATACCATTAACAGTGATGAAGAAGAAGCAACACTTGAATTTCCAAAGTAACGTTTTAAGAAATGACAAACTTGTTGCTGTCTTATTCTAATGAATGGATCCAGCGTAAACTTTTGCCTTTGCCTGTAAGGCAACTTTATACTACAAGAATCTGAGCACAGCTATGACAGCATTTTAATTTGCCATCTCTTGACCAGCAGAAGCTGGAACATGTAGCCATAGCAATCTCCTCAGAAGGAGTGGAGTAATTTTTTTTGCCTGTGAAGGATGATGATGATTCTTTCAGAGGGCTGACAGTAAGCTGCAAAGCCTGAGTCCTGCCCCCTGCACAGACCATCTCCTTTCTTTGCAAAGATGGCCTACCCCACTCCTGGCCACCATCTATTCAAAAGTCAGTGGACATTGCCACAGCCCTAATTTCACAAATTGTATTTTTGAAAGTCTTACTTTGATGTTGGTTGTTTCTACTTGTTTCTGTATGTATCTGTTCCTCTGCCTACCCCCCCCCACCCCCCACTCAGTGAGCCTTCCCTTATGAGAAAAAACCATTTAAGGAAAACCAGCTGACACCAACTGAGTTGAACAGTGTATGCAACATTCTGCCACACCCATAATCCCCTATTTCTCCAATGGAAAGAGAGAAGTTTAGCTTAGCCATGCCTTTTAAATGATGCAGGTTTCTGGGTAGACTGAACTAGAGAGTAAATAAACCTGCTAATTGGGTATGAATGAAAAAGAAAGGCAGCCCAGACACTGCATCCCTGGTCCTTTTTTCTAGCACTGGTTGCACCCTGTCTCATACTCCTTGACACCTTCTTCCTCTGTAGGCCAGCCATACTGGCCTATTTCCTATTCCTCATACACAGTGCTCCATTTCCCATCTCAGTACCTTTGCACTGGCTGTTCCCCCTGCCTGGAATGTTTTCCCTCTTTACCTTCCCTTCTTCAAATCCTTCAAGATACAGCTCAAATGCAGCTGCATTCAGGAGATCTTTCCCAGCCCCAGCTCTACCACCCAGCCGCCAGTGTCTTTGCTGCTCAGGTTATCTTGTACCTATTCTGTATGGATCTTGTGTATGCCTATATATGTACATTTTGTCTCACCCATTGTTCAAGGGACTGGCAGGAGGAATTGATCAAGAAACATTTATTAAGCATATGTGTGCTAGACACTCTTCTAACCAATGGGGATACAGAGAAAGGGAAAATAGGCCCTGTCCTCAAAGAGGACATTCTAATGGGTGAGACAAAATGTACATATATAGGCATACAACAATCTCTCTCAGATTCTCTTTTGCTTTGTTTACAAATTTTGTGAAAATACATTTGAAATTTCCCAGATCCCTGACCTCAGCTTTGTTTTCATCCTTTGAGGATGGTACTTCTCAAGGCAGACTTGTATTCACTGTGCTTTGTAAATGATAAAATTTTTTCATGTTCTACAAAGAATTATTTTTGAGCAGTACTGTTAAAGTCATTAATTCGGTGATAATTGTATCTGTTTACAAATAAGCTTTGGACTCTTAAATAAAATAAATCGTTTTATTACTCCTAAAAGTGCATGTTTATTGAATCTGTGGGCTAACTGAAACATATAGATAGGTCCCAGGACATAGTTGGGGTGGGGAGAAATCACGTGTATGGGTAAGGAGATGGACGATGAACCAGGAGAGAGAAAAGGCCTGTAAGCCAAGGGGGGAGAGAGACCAGGAGACCAATAGCCAACCATCTTGAGAGTTACGAAGAGGTTAAGGGGGAAAGAAAAACAACAAAATTCAGCTCACCATGTCACCCCCATTCCCTACTTAAACTCCAATGGCTCCCTGTTACCTCCAGGATCAAATATAAAATCCTATTTCTTTTAAAGCCCTTTACAACTTGGCCCCCCTCCCACCTTTCCAGTCTTCTTATACCCTTCCTCCCCTCCACTTTGTGATCCAGTGACACTGACCTCTTTGTTGTTCCTTCCTTACATAGTGCATACCACTTTCCAACTTTGGACATTTCCACTGGCTGTCTCCTATGCCTGGAATGCCCTCCCTCCTCTCCTCTGCCTCCTGGCTTCCTGCTTTCCTTCAGGTTTCACCTGCAAGAAACCTTTCCTCATCCCCCTCAATTCTGGTACTAGCCTTCCCTCTGAGATTATCTCTACTGTATCCTGTACATACCTTGTTTAAACATAGTTGTTTGCCCATTGTCTCCCCATTAGACTGTGAGCTCCATGAGGTACTGTTTTTGTGTTTCTTTGTACCCTCGGTATTTAAGTATAGTTCCGGGCACATAATAGGGGCTTAATAAATGCTTGTTGACTTGCGCACAGTAAGGGTTGAAAAAAAACCATTGAATCTAGCCAGTTAAGAGGTACGGTAACCTTTGAGGGAGCTGTTTGAGTAGGAGTAGACCAGTAGCCAGATTGCAAACAGCTGAGAAGTGAGTGGATGGATGGTGGAGAGAGGGAGTGTAGACCCTTACAAGAAGCCCATGGATAGCATCTGAAAACTCTTTCAATGCTGTTTTATAATTTATACACATTTCTTTCTTTTAAATAAGTATTTGATCTTTTGTTTTTATAACACCTGCATTTCCCAATGTAATACTCCCTCTCTGAGCTGCTCCTGGAATGCCATCCCTTAGAACATTTTTTTTTTTTAAAGAAGAAAACAGTTCAGCAACACTTAACCAACATATCAAAAAAGCTTGCCATTAAATGCAGTGTTCTGTAGCCATGGTCCTCCACATCTTCAAAGAAGCAGAGGTACCCTCTCATTTCTTTGGTTTCAAGCTAGATTGTTATAATTTCACAGCATTTAGTTTCGATTGTTTTTTTTTTATTTTATTTTAAGTTGTTTTTTTTTTTAGGCAATTGGGGTTAAGTGGCTTGCTCAGGGTCACACAGCTAGTAAGTGTCAAGTGTTTGATCTGAGGCCAGATTTGAACTCAGGTCCTCCTGACTTTAGGGCCAGTGCTCTATCCACTGCACCGCCTAGCTGCCCCTCTTTTTTGTTTTTTACACTTGTGTTGTATAGATTGCCTTCCTAGTTCTGCTTACTTCCCTTTGCATCATTTCACATATCTTCCCTTGCTTCTTACTCCTTTGCTGTCCAGTCGTTTTTCAGTTGCGCCTGACTCTTTGTGACCCCATCTTGGCAAAGATACTGGAGTGGTTTGCCATTTCCTTCTCCAGCTCATATTACTTATGGAGAAACAGAGGCCCACAGGGTGAAGTGACTTGGCCAGGGTCACAAACCTAGTAAGTGTCTGACGCCGGATTGGAACTCAGAAAGCTGAGTCTTCCTGACTCCAGGCCTGGTGTTCTATCCACTGCAGCGCCACCTGGCTGCCTTGTTACTCCTTACCAAACGTCCATATATGCTCAAGCAATTCCATTCCATCTTGTGTCCTCCACCAGATTGCCCTCTCTGTCATCCTCATTCTATCACTTCTATCTCTCCCTATGTACCAACTCCTTGCCTGTACTGCCCACAAACATGCCTGTGTCTCCCCTATCCTCAAGCAACCCTCCCTTTATCCTTACTCTTGTCCTCTATCTCCTCTGCCCTTTGGGGCTAAACTCCAGAAGGCCCTGTACCATAGGTGCCTCCACTTTCTCTCCTCTCACTCTCTTCTTAACCACTTAAAATCCAGCTTCCAACCTCATCATTTCATTGAAACTGCTCTCTCTAAAGTTACCAATAATCTCTTCATTGCCGAATCCAAGTTTTTCCTCAATCCTCATTCTCCCCACTCTCTTTGACACTGTCAAACACCTTCCTCTCCATGATATTCTTTTTTCTGGGTTTTTGCGACACCACTCTCTCCTGGTTTTCCTCCGACTTAGTCGACCACTTCTTGCCAGTCTCTAGGACCTCATCCAGATCACATTCTCTAACTGTAGGTGTATCACAGACTTCTGTCTTGGGCCCTCTTCTCTTCTCCATATACTACATGTACTACATATACTACATCACTTGGTGATCTCTTCAACTCCCATAAATTTAATTACAGTCTCTATACTGACAGTTCTCAAATCTGCCTATATCCTACTCCAACCTCTGCTGACTTCCAATCTGGCATCTCCAACTGCCATTTAGACATCTAGAATTGGATGTCCAGTAGAATCTTTAACTCAGCACATCCAAAGTGAGATTGTCTTTCCCCCAATCCCTCCCCATTCCTATCTTCCTTATTACTGTTGAGGGTAACACCATCCTCCCAGTCTATCAGGTACAAACCTAGGAGCCATCCTGGACTTTTCACTGTCTTACCTCCCACATCCAAGCTATTGCCAAGCCTGTCAATTTCAGTTTTGTAATATCTGTCTAATACACTCCCTTCTCTCCTCTGACACTGCCACCAGTCTGGTGCAAGCCCTCATCTCCTCATGCTTGGACTACTGCAGTAGCTGCTTGGTGAGTCCGCCTGCCCTGTCTCTCTCCGCTCTAATTCTTCCTCCATTCAGCCAGTAATGTGATTTTCCTAAAGCACAGGTCCAACCATGTCACTCCCCCACTCAATAAACCCCAGTGGCTCCCTATGGCCTCCAGGAGCAAATACAAAATGTTCTCTTGGGCATATAAAGCCCTTTACAACCTAGCCCCCTCCTACCTTTCTAGTCTTCTTACACCTCACTCTTCAATCTAGTAACATTGCCTCTTGGCTGTTTCGGGAACAAAACACTCCATGTCTTGGCTCTGGATATTTTCTCTGGCTGCCCCTCATGCCTAGAATGCTCTCCCTCCTCATTTCTGTCTATTGGCTTCTTTAGCTTCTTTTAAATCTCAATTAAAACCCCATCTTCTCCAGGAAGGCTTTCTCAACCCTTCTTAGTTCTAGTGCCTTTTTTCTCTTATTTCCTTTTTTCCCCAATATGGTGCTTGTTTGCTTGTTGTCTCCCTATTAGATTTTGAGCTCCTCCAAGGCAGGGACTGTCTTTTGCTCCTCTTTGTATCCCCAGTGCTTAGCACAGTGCCTGGCACATAGCAATGCTTAATAAATGTTTATTGACCCACTGAATGGCTTCTCTGCAGTCATATTTTCCATCTTATAATATAGTAATAGTCCATTACATTCATATGCCACACCTTGGTTAGCCAGTTTGG